CATCATGAGGTCTAAACTAATCACCCCATCACATGACTCCAATATTCTTGGTCGACTTCCTGTCAGTCTTGTCATCATCTACTCCGAGGAGTGATGAAAAACGAATCCAATCAGGAGATAACACAGAGATCTTTTGTATCAGGACTATAACCTATAGATACCTCGTGATGTCTTGTGATCGCCAATGAATAGAACCAGTGTAGACACAGGAAGGATTTTTCGCTGATACCCTCAGGCCTGCAAAAAACACAGTATCTATACAGCATGACCTCGGGAACACATGATTTCCCTCACATCCTGCATTCCAACAGAACCGCGCTCTGGTCAGAGGAACACACGCGAACTTACACAGAAAATTCAAAAGACAATCATTTAAAAGTATAAAAGGGCAACTATATTCACAAATAATATGTTTTATGTCTTATATATGTTTGATGTGTTTCCTGTAATCGGTGCAAGTTTAAACAATGTTTTATAAACCCTTTTAGTAGATAAGATTATTAATGTGTATGCAAATACCCGATATTTGAGCTTGAATGAAAGCTTATTTTATGTGCGAGACTTTGGTGCGAATGAAATGTTGATTTTTGGTATCATACGCGCAATTAAGAAACTTTATAGAAGTATTAACAAAATCTGGTCAGGATGTTACCCCACGTGATAAATTGAAGCCTCATGTTAATGTATGCACGCTCCGCCTTGCAACAGCGTCCGATTGGGACAATCGCGTGTGGGACTGACTTATGCAGCTGGATCAAAAACCCAACGTCCGAACAGATCTGTGCCTTTTCGCCTTTTCGCCTTTGTGTTAAATCGCGCTCCAAGTTGCGCACACACGCTGCACCATCAAGTGATCGGGTCATCCAGAACTCAAACACTTCAGTTGAAACTTCTTGACTGCAAGAGATCTTCAAAAGCCTAAAGTCTTACAAACTCAGACTCTTTCAGAAGAACTGCCAAAGCCTCTGAGTCACCAGGAAACCCCATTCATCAGGAGGGCATCCCCAGAAACTACGTCATCCAAACGCCAGATCAGCAACCAATCAAAGGTGCTGGTATTCCCTCAAGCAGCCAACAAGGAAACTCAATTCAGCTTTCCAGCTAAAACGCAAAAGTAACAAGCAAAATCTTTTCATCTCGTGCTGAATGGGTGCTGAACCAATTAGTAGCAGTAACGATAAGACAAATCTCTGCTTTATGAGTTTTCTCAGGTTGAATTTAAAGAACTCGTAGAAAACGAGTGTTAGAACTGTGGGAACTTCCTCAGAACTCCATTAAAATCCTCATCCTTTCAACCGTATGTGTGTGTGTATGTGTGTGTGTGTGTGTGTTTACATTAGTTTAGTTTAATGTAATCTAGAATAGCCAATAAAGTAACGATAAGACAAATCTCTGCTTTATGAGTTTTCTCAGGTTGAATTTAAAGAACTCGTAGAAAACGAGTGTTAGAACTGTGGGAACTTCCTCAGAACTCCATTAAAATCCTCATCCTTTCAACCGTATGTGTGTGTGTATGTGTGTGTGTGTGTGTGTTTACATTAGTTTAGTTTAATGTAATCTAGAATAGCCAATAAACTGTTGTTTCATTTATAAAGAAGTATTTTCTTGTGTCGTGAATTTTAAAGTTAAATCTCTGCCCAGATCCTTAGTTACCTAGCTTGTAGCTTATAAATTATCACAAGCATGTATTAACCCGTGGCCAGGGATAGTACAAATATTCAAATTGGTAAGATATACTGATGTAAACGTCTCGCTGGACGACCGTTGATAAAGTGTAAACTATCAATTTTGGAATCAGTTCAATCAGGTTGATATCGAATCTTAAGATTCGATTTCCCCCCTCTGAAAACCTGAGCTAAAATAAAAGAGTTAATTTCCCTTTTTCCTTACAATAGTAAAGCCCAAAGGGTTTTTTTGTGTGTGTAGCACACAATAAACTTGTGTGTGTAGCACACTGTTGTCAGGAACTGTTACCATTTTAAGTTAGGTAGGTCATTTTCAGCTGTGAGTCCCAAAATGGGGGGTGCAGGTTAACAGGTTAAGCATTTACATGCTCATGTTTTTTTCCTGTTGAAAGGATTATTTCAGGTCTACACCATCACTTTCAATCAAATCAAAATGTTCAGTGGAGCTCAGTTGTATCGATTGATGTGTTTTACATACAGGCTTTTTCACTATAATTTTGATTGAGCCATTAATCTGATTATAGACAGATTATATGGGTGCATGTAAACATGGCTGTAATACATTTGATTGGACTGAAATCTGTTCTGAAATCTACTCCTTTATATAGTACATTATAGTACATTTATTCTACTAAGTTTTCAGTTGTATTACAGATAGAAAGTTGTTGTCTGGATTTGTGTGAAGTGTTGTGAGTGCTCAAAAGTGTTAATAGATTGATGCTTTTGCTTCATTTATTTCTTTTTATTCTTAAGACAAATGTAGCAGTAAAACTACAATGCTAAAACATTTTACCATTTGTTGGCTCATATTTAAGGCGTACATATCTGCCAGCTAGATGAATAAATACACAATGAATAGATGTAACAATTTTTTTGAAAAATTACTATAAATTGTCAATCTAATGTAATAATTCAGATATCTTTAACTTAGAATGATTTGCATTCATTTTAGATACATTTTACTAAGAACAAACAGAGGAAGTGTTTGCTTCGCTATGTTTCGCTACAGTCCTGTTCTTCTGGAAGACTTTCCCGTTGGGTTGCGTCCTCCATGTCAGTGTGACGTCTTCATCGCTCAGCGTCTGCTTTAACTAAACACAGAAACAGCCTTCAGTTACACAGTACATTCCACAATTAATCTTAGTCAGATGAGTACACACCTTGTTTAAGACGAGCACCTTCATTTTAGCTTCATCCACCTTCTCACCGGCTTTCACCTGCACTCGGATCACCTGCCTCTTCCTCTTGACTGTGGGGAAAGCACATATTGTGTATTTTACGTAGTTTTACTATATCTTTCTTTATGAGCATGTAATTCAGGGATTCCCAAACTTTTTGTCAGCCAAACCCCTTTGCCAAACCCAAAAATCTGAAACATTTGCTTATATCTGTCCCTGAGATTTTAATTTGAGGTATGTGATTTTTGCTAAACATTTTTGTTGTTGTTGTTAAATTATATACATTTCATTTTTTTTTTTTTTTAGTTAATTCGGCATGCTTTTTGATTGCCAAAATGTAATTTAACCATTAAAATTGAATTTGGTAAAATTGGAATGGAGATAGAATAAAATAAAGTAAAATTGGAATAAAATAAAATGGAATTTTTGAAAAAAAAATCAAACTTATTTCATAGGGCCCTACAACACCTCAACAATCCTGTGCAAACTGTAGTTTGTGAAACACTGATATAGATGATAAATTATCAAAGTCACATTTTCCTATTCAGTTTTGTCAACAAATGATGTACACAAGAGTTCAGGTCAGACCTACCAGTGTTGCAGTAGAAGTAATACATATTTGTGCAATATCTGTCATCAAATACACGATAATAATTATCTGCACCAGCACAGTCTTCATTCCACTTAGTAAATGTCTGAGTAGTGAGTTTGGATGAGGAAGTGATATTGGTCTGATCTGACCACTTCCAAGTGTCTCTGTACAATCCCATCCAGACCGGAACCATCCAGACATTTAGCAACTTGGTAATCTGGTCATTGTCTTCTTGATTCCTAATGGTAGCCAGGTCTGTATAATGACGTCTGCAGTACTTCTGAGCATCAGTCCATGTATTTTGGGTCTTGCTCAAAACCATTTTCTCTGTTGCGTTTGTACTTCCTGTGAAAATTCAAAAATAGAGTCAAGACATTAAAGCCAAATTAATTTTGTGTGAGCCTGTTAAACCTGCTTGAAGAGGAAACTTTTAAAACATACTTTAATAATCTTTGAATTACAACTTTAAAAATATATTTTTTACAGCGCAGATTTGAAATGACATGAGTCAGTAATTGTCATTGAATTATTGGGTGAACTATCCCTTTAATTCTTTATTCTGAGAATCATTCCTTTCAGCATTTTCTGTACCTAAATAAAGCGAAATTTATAATTGAAGTTATAGTTTAAGTTTGTGACAGGGTTATTATAGTTAACTAAAACTAAATAAGAAAAATCATTATTTGAAATAAAATGTTAACTGAAATAAAATTTAAAAAACTTTAATTTATTTTACTTCATCTAATTTTCAAGGCAACGTTACTCGTTTTCATTTAGTTTATCTTGATGTACTAAAACTACAGAGCCCCTAAAGGGACCTTTGCAAAAATAAAAAATACACAGGCTATCGCGTGCTCACAAGAAACTTTTGCGTGTGTACGCGGTTTCATTTTCCAGTGTAAGTATTATACATTAGCATTATTTGACTGTCAAATGTCGAGAGTGCACTGTTGTAGCACGAAAGTACATTAATATGATGCGTGAGCGTGAATCTTTCTGCTCGCACAAGGATTTCATTTGCTCTCGCACAAAACCAGATGCGCACTCTCAGATATACGCTGCTATTGCTCAGAGAGTGTGCGCGCACTTAAAACGTGTCAGTTGCAATCATATACTTTTTTTGTTTGTTTGTTTAGATAAATCGCTCAGAGGGATTTGACCAACCAGTTAGGCAGACTATAGGTTATTTATTTGTATAAATCATCCAGGCACCCCAATCCCAGCCATTTCTAATATACATTTTATTAATATTGCTATTAAATTGTAAAGAAATTGCAGATCCAGCTATGATTGTCAAAAGAATTCCAGGTGCAGTTCCCTCTCGGCCAATTAGATTTCACGTAGCATTTTCATCGGTCAGTCGTGGAAGTCTGATTGGTTGATAACTTTTGACAATGTCCAGGTGCAAAAATAATTAATTTCTAGCGCAACGGAGAGATTTGCGAACGCACAGGATGCAGTTTGAACAGAAAATATAAAAATAAACAAGCTATAATAGCATCTCAGTTACACCAAAATAACATTGGTATATGACACAAATTTTTACTTCTCCAACCCCAATGTCATTATATTGGTGTCTGTATCCATACACTGAATTAATGAGCACCAATAAAGAGTGATTATACGTGTTTCTCACCATCGTAACACATGAAATATCTTAAGTCTGTGCAGTAGAAATCATGCCAAGTTCCATCAAAATAGATGGCGGCACACTCCTCTCCGTAACCGTAGTTATCTGGCTGGACAAGACCCCAGGACTCGAACACCAGACTCTCCTCGTTATAAGACCAGCGCCAGGTTTTGATGTCATTGAACAGTCCGATCCAGGCAAAGCCATAAAACTGTTGTTCATCTGCAGCTTCTTTCAGACTTGTCCAGTCTTCATCAGTCTGAACGGTGGCCAGATCAATATGGTGTGTCCTGCAGTAACTCTGTGCATTTTCCCACGTCTTTAACTGTTTGTACAGAATATACTCTTGTGGTTTACACAGAGTTAATGACAGGAGTCCTGGCAAGAGAATACAGTGGTTTTAGTATTTTTCCTACTGAAAGTTTCCAGTTGGCTGGCTGTAATAGTCCCAGTCACCTTGTTTTTATTCTGACACCTATAGTTTGTTTGGTCATTGTTGAACGAGAGCTTGTCGAGTGAGTTTGTCTTTGGTTTTGCATGTTTTGATAAATAAATTTCAGTCACTGTAGCGTTTCTGTCGTAAAGCATTGGTCAAATATTGGAGAAGATATTTAATTTAAATTTTTAAATATACAGTAGTTTTGTTTAAATAAGGATTTGATTTTAATATTGTTCTTCAACTATCAGTGCATTGACGTCCTCTGCTGGTATTATTATAAACTTCATCACAAGTAATGAAAAAGACATAAAACATAAATGCATTATACATTATGTATTTTGACAAAGTATTTCAATAATATAATGTTTTGATCCAGTCATTAGTTGTATTATTTTAAAGGTTTGTTGTTTTTCTGTTAAAGTATTTTACTGTCTTTAAAATGAAAGCATGCTATATAATTCTTCATTTGAGTTTATTACTCAATTAATCTTCATAATAATCAGCTGACTGTGACAGAACCAATCCGAACAGGATTGATTGAAAAAACAGCTTTTTTATTGTTTTTATAAGTCATATTTCTTTGGCTGTTTGTTGCAGATGCTTTCTTTAATTATCCATTGATAGTAGACAATCTGACTTAATATTGAGTTGATTACATTAACCATGACTCTCCTTGCGCTCACTTAGGGGTGTGCGATGATGACAAAAAAAAAGATGTCTCTCTTTTCTGGAGTTTTGTTGATAATGATAATCAGACGATATTTTGCTGGTACTTTGGCAGGTTTAGGGTCTGCCATGGACAGCTGACTCCCAAAGCTTCTGATATTATTCATGTTCTCTGTGGTGATTAGTTTTCAGCAATAACAGAAATGACCATTTCCAATGAGTTTAAATTGATTTTTATCTTTTATGGACATTTTTACCTTTATAAGTTTTTTTTTTCTAACCTAATTAACCGTAGTTATCTGGCTGGACAAGACCCCAGGACTCGAACACCAGACTCTCCTCGTTATAAGACCAGCGCCAGGTTTTGATGTCATTGAACAGTCCGATCCAGGCAAAGCCATAAAACTGTTGTTCATCTGCAGCTTCTTTCAGACTTGTCCAGTCTTCATCAGTCTGAACGGTGGCCAGATCATAATGGTGTGTCCTGCAGTAACTCTGTGCATTTTCCCACGTCTTTATCTGTTTGTACAGAATATACTCTTGTGGTTTACACAGAGTTAATGACAGGAGTCCTGGCAAGAGAATACAGTGGTTTTAGTATTTTTCTGACTGAAAGTTTCCAGTTGGCTGGCTGTAATAGTCCCAGTCACCTTGTTTTTATTCTGACACCTATAGTTTGTTTGGTCATTGTTGAACGAGAGCTTGTCGAGTGAGTTTGTCTTTGGTTTTGCATGTTTTGATAAATAAATTTCAGTCACTGTAGCGTTTCTGTCGTAAAGCATTGGTCAAATATTGGAGAAGATATTTAATTTAAATTTTTAAATATACAGTAGTTTTGTTTAAATAAGGATTTGATTTTAATATTGTTCTTCAACTATCAGTGCATTGCTGTTTAAAAAGTTCATTATTATTATAAACTTCATCACAAGTAATGAAAACGACATAAAACATAAATGCATTATACATTATGTATTTTAACAGTATTTCAATAATATTATGTTTTGATCCAGTCATTAGTTGTATTATTTTAAAGGTTTGTTGTTTTTCTGTTAAAGTATTTTACTGTCTTTAAAATGAAAGCATGCTATATAATTCTTCATTTGAGTTTATTACTCAATTAATCTTCATAATAATCAGCTGACTGTGACAGAACCAATCCGAACAGGATTGATTGAAAAAACAGCTTTTTTATTGTTTTTATAAGTCATATTTCTTTGGCTGTTTGTTGCAGATGCTTTCTTTAATTATCCATTGATAGTAGACAATCTGACTTAATATTGAGTTGATTACATTAACCATGACTCTCCTTGCGCTCACTTAGGGGTGTGCGATGATGACAAAAAAAAAGATGTCTCTCTTTTCTGGAGTTTTGTTGATAATGATAATCAGACGATATTTTGCTGGTACTTTGGCAGGTTTAGGGTCTGCCATGGACAGCTGACTCCCAAAGCTTCTGATATTATTCATGTTCTCTGTGGTGATTAGTTTTCAGCAATAACAGAAATGACCATTTCCAATGAGTTTAAATTGATTTTTATCTTTTATGGACATTTTTACCTTTATAAGTTTTTTTTTTCTAACCTAATTAAATTTATGCATTATCTTTTGTGTCAAATTCTTACTCAATAAATTAAATTCAAATAGTAATATACACTGTAGGGCTGTTACCAATCAAATGAAATCAGTATCAACAAAATGTGTCTTTGCAATGCAGAGGTGGCACAGAATCTGCATCTGAAGTGGCGTTTAGATTCATTTACACTATTAGACGCATTTGACCTGCAGTTACAAATCCATAAATAATGGTTTGAGTAATGCTCATTAATGTTTTGTTTTAAAAACAACATCTTGAATACTGATATTTGAAATGATTTTGAATAAAGAGAGAGAGAGAGAGAAAATATACTTTAAATATACAATTAAAATCTCCTGTAGATGGTGGCAAGTCACTGCATGAGTGAGTCATTGAACCGATTCCTTCAAACGGCTGATTCATTCAGTAATGAATACTAACTAATATTATCCACAATCCATTGCGCTTTGGCGAAGGATTCAGTTCAGAACTACAAAAACAAATAAAAAGCGTTAAACTACAAACATGGCGGATTTGCGTGACCGACGAGAGGTTTAGAAGGGTTTGAGTTACTAATAATCAGCATTTAACCTAGTGAATATATTTAAGGTTATCTGTGTTATATATCATTTGCAACAACAATGTGAACTTTTATAAACATCCGTTTGACCATTAACTTTATTATGCAAAAAAATATGCAGTTCTCTGCATAAAGACCCACGGCTGGCAGATCAACGTGCTGCTACTTTTCTCTTCGATACGGTAGGACGTTAAATGAAATGATATGTGGAGGACGTGAACTGTGACAAGATGATTGACAGAACAGTTTACAGTGACGTGTAACTGTGCGACAGAGCGCTCTCTCCACTGCAACGGACGCAACCCAGAAAAAACTATCGGCATGGATTTTTGCCCATAGCTCCACCAATCAACTATCGGTGCCAATTAATCGGCAAAACCGATACATCGGTCGTCCTCTAATTTTAAATGCATTTTAAGACTAAATCACTTGGTGGAAGCGTGCACAGTAGTCTAACCTACATCTGGCAGTGAAAAGGCCCCGATATACTCAAAACTAAATTCTTTTTCATTCTTCGTTTAGATGTAAAACGAAGTTCAAAATACGTGAGCAGTGGTATACTGTTATCGAACATCCTGACGCTGCCCACTCTGATGAAAACAACGTTTATATGAATATGTAAATATGTGCTGCGTGCTTTCCTCTCAGTAACAAAATAAACCTCTGCAGGGTGATAAAGTCTACACTGTGTAAATTTCCCGCTTATCATGCGGCCACTTGTCTGACCATGGACAGCTGACTCCCAAAGCTTCTGATATTATTCATGTTCTCTGTGGTGATTAGTTTTCAGCAATAACAGAAATGACCATTTCCAATGAGTTTAAATTGATTTTTATCTTTTATGGACATTTTTACCTTTATAAGTTTTTTTTTTCTAACCTAATTAAATTTATGCATTATCTTTTGTGTCAAATTCTTACTCAATAAATTAAATTCAAATAGTAATATACACTGTAGGGCTGTTACCAATCAAATGAAATCAGTATCAACAAAATGTGTCTTTGCAATGCAGAGGTGGCACAGAATCTGCATCTGAAGTGGCGTTTAGATTCATTTACACTATTAGACGCATTTGACCTGCAGTTACAAATCCATAAATAATGGTTTGAGTAATGCTCATTAATGTTTTGTTTTAAAAACAACATCTTGAATACTGATATTTGAAATGATTTTGAATAAAGAGAGAGAGAGAGAGAAAATATACTTTAAATATACAATTAAAATCTCCTGTAGATGGTGGCAAGTCACTGCATGAGTGAGTCATTGAACCGATTCCTTCAAACGGCTGATTCATTCAGTAATGAATACTAACTAATATTATCCACAATCCATTGCGCTTTGGCGAAGGATTCAGTTCAGAACTACAAAAACAAATAAAAAGCGTTAAACTACAAACATGGCGGATTTGCGTGACCGACGAGAGGTTTAGAAGGGTTTGAGTTACTAATAATCAGCATTTAACCTAGTGAATATATTTAAGGTTATCTGTGTTATATATCATTTGCAACAACAATGTGAACTTTTATAAACATCCGTTTGACCATTAACTTTATTATGCAAAAAAATATGCAGTTCTCTGCATAAAGACCCACGGCTGGCAGATCAACGTGCTGCTACTTTTCTCTTCGATACGGTAGGACGTTAAATGAAATGATATGTGGAGGACGTGAACTGTGACAAGATGATTGACAGAACAGTTTACAGTGACGTGTAACTGTGCGACAGAGCGCTCTCTCCACTGCAACGGACGCAACCCAGAAAAAACTATCGGCATGGATTTTTGCCCATAGCTCCACCAATCAACTATCGGTGCCAATTAATCGGCAAAACCGATACATCGGTCGTCCTCTAATTTTAAATGCATTTTAAGACTAAATCACTTGGTGGAAGCGTGCACAGTAGTCTAACCTACATCTGGCAGTGAAAAGGCCCCGATATACTCAAAACTAAATTCTTTTTCATTCTTCGTTTAGATGTAAAACGAAGTTCAAAATACGTGAGCAGTGGTATACTGTTATCGAACATCCTGACGCTGCCCACTCTGATGAAAACAACGTTTATATGAATATGTAAATATGTGCTGCGTGCTTTCCTCTCAGTAACAAAATAAACCTCTGCAGGGTGATAAAGTCTACACTGTGTAAATTTCCCGCTTATCATGCGGCCACTTGTCTGATAAGTAAATAATTGAACGCAAAATATTAATTTGACATATTTTAATGACCTCATCATGACTCACAGTACCCGCTTTAGCACTCCGTAATCAGTTGTAGCATTTGTGGTTGTATCAATAAGAGACCACTAGATGACATGATTGAAGAATCAGAGTTGTATTGCAGGCAGCCATGTAGAAATATAAATGAACGATGCATGGTTCTGCTCTAAGCATGAAAGTTACAAGTTTGTGAAAGGACTTCCAGCGCCAGATAAACGTAAAGCAGATTATGAATATACTTAAGATTCACAAATACCAAAACAACGTGTGTACAACAGACGCGAGCGGCGCGACGTGACAAAAGCAAAAAGAAGCCAGTGATGTTCTCTGCTGTGGATGCGACGCGACACGACACGACAAATCCATGACATTAAACTGACGCCCCGTTCTATTTCTGACGAACTCCAGCGCTCTGACACAGTCTTTCTCAAATATTCATAAGAGAATCGTGAAAAAATAGTTTCCTCAAAAATATTAAGCAGCACAAATGTTTACAACATTGATAATCAGAAATGGTTACTGAGCAGCAAATCAGCATATTAGAATGATTTCTGAAGGGTCATATGACACTGAAGACTGGAGTAATGATGCTGAAAATACAGCTTTGATCACAGGAATACAGTAGCCTACATGTTAAAACATTCAAATAGATAATTTAAATTGACAATATTTCACAATATTACAGTGTTTACTGTATTTTTAATAAATAAATGTAGCCTTGGTGAGCATAAGAGACTTTCCAAAAAAAATATTTTTTGAAAATGTTTTTCTCTACAAAAGGGGGGCCCGGCAGAAAAAGTTTGGGAACCACTGGCCTACTCAAACACACAATATTTAATTTAATTCATACAGGCCTACCTCATGTTGCACGTTTGCACTTTTTGAGAAAAACGATGGCACAATAAAAAAAAAAAAGACTTTTCAGGGCTATGTCCAATCCCTCACTTTTTCTAGTTATATAAGGTTAAAATATTTTATTTATTTTGTATATCGTGATATGAATTTTAGCTCATATCGTCCATCCCTAGCACACACCTCCTATGACGTAACCGTCACGGACCAATGGTAGTACGAAGGTGTTTTGCAGCCGGAACAAACTTTTCTTGGAAGTTTGCTTTGACAAGCCGTTTCGAACTCCCAAAACGAACACAAAACAAACTTAATTTTGGCTGGATTTTGTTCGAAATGATGTCACATCAGTTCATTCTTCGATTTCGCTTGAAGTATATCGGGGCCTTTATGCAGGAATCTCTGAGTGTGCTTTTGTTTGTTTTTTGCGATATACTTGATAATTTCAAATCGCATATCGTTAAAACGACAATTACGATATTACAGTAGACAATGTATATTGAACACCCCTACTCTCACTCTTGCTTACAAACATTTTTTATCACATTTTGTTATATTATTGCTGTATGTAAGATAGAAAGAATATGTAAACCTAATTTATTTTGTAACGTTGTTACATATTTTAACATGTTAATGTTATTTTAATATTTTGCATAATGTTTTACCTGAAAGAAAAAGCAGATGAAGCCAAATTTGGTCCATCACTTTGCCAGTAGTTTTTGCTACTGAAAAAACTAAAAAAACAAACAAACAAGCAAACAAACAAAAATTTATTCCCTAATAAACTATCTGCATAGTTGATGAATTGGCATGATTGCTTTTTTTTAAGGTTAAATTTACAGATTTGTATAAGAAAAAAATACATAAAATGGAAAAAAGTAATTTTCATTACCAACATTATGATGTGATGTGAAAAGTGCAGCATAACTACTAAGCAATTATTTACATAATTACTAATCATCCCTCATGAATGAAAAAGCACTGACCTGTTAAACTGCGCTGAGAGTGAACTGATGAAATGTTGGCCTGCCTTCAGTGATAGTGAGTTTTCAGGATGTTTCTCAAGTTCCCAATCTTGTGCTCTTTTAATGGATTTGTTATGCTAAGAAGGGAATTTCACAGTCAGATATGCAAAGTGTGTTCATCATTATTTTTGTGGTTCCTCCTCCTGGTGTGTTTTGGTGGATCATCTGAGGACACTCATTATAATATGATTCCTCGCTGTACTTAAAGTAGTATACGTTATACTTGTAAAGTAGGCTAGATGTTTCACATTTAGACTGAATCTTTGAATGACAGCTGTCTTTTAGTGTAATATCCAAGAATATCACAAAGTCATTGTGCCATCTCTATATTTATTAATTAAATGTTCCTTGATTTAGTATCTGCAAATTAATGATCTCAGATTAATCTCAGTTCTCATGTTCATTGTCTGATCATGCATAAATCTGCTTTAAAACATTAGACTGATGATAGCAGTCATGATTTGCTAAGTGGTTTAAGAGCCAGAGAGTAGCTTTCACATCATTTTAAGCTGATTAAATAATATAAATAGATAAACGGATTGATTTATTTGGGTGGCTTTGTGTTGTGTGAAGTCTTATCTTAATTTATCTTTATTTTTCAGTTTAAATGTCCTTGTGGATCATGTAAATGAAGGACAATGTGATTCACGAGTCTATGCAAAACAAACAGCATCACCTCAGAAAGATCATGTACAAATATTTACAGATGTTTTTATTCAGAAAATCCATTCTCCTTTTAAAATTGTTGTCTAAAATTAACTTTCCATGTATGCATTTGGCAGACACTTCTGTCCAAAAGGACTTGTGTTGCTTTCATTCATTGATCAGTTCTTGCATTTATATTGTGCACTGGATAATATCACATAAATGTTTGGTCAAAGCCGTGTTTTTGAGGATGTGTTTGGATTCAAATCATTAGAAATGTGATTCTTTGTTAGTTTTCAGGACAGCTGTATTTGTGTAAATGTTTTATGTGTTTGTGATTAGCAGAGAATGTTTTCAGATCATGCAAAATTTAATTCAGATCATGCAAAATGTAATGACTTTTTTTGACTCTTCAGCAGTTATTTTCATATGCAAATGCTAGTAGGCGTGTGCTTGGCCCTTCTCCTGGAGATTTAGAGTACAGAAACAACAAAATAATAGCATTTTATGAAAAGAGATGTTATATTTTATCATTTTAAATTATAATACTATTAATGTTATGGCAATGACAAAAAAGTCATACAAGAAAAACAGCATCAGATAAACTGTAATAATCGAATTTAAATGAATTAATAAAGACAATTAGTTGTTCAAAAGTGTGAACTATACAAAGTCAGCTTGTGTTGTTTCTATGGTTTTATTCAGTATGATAAATGGTGCAGCTTTCATGCAAGTGGTGTAAAAATCTGAGATCATATTATTTTCATTTATATAAATATGAAAAATTTAAAACTGATTTTTTTTTAAATAAAATGAACCTTCATACACACACACACACACACACATATATACAATATATATATATATATATATATATATATGAGGCACCATACAGGAAATAATTATGTCAAATCTGAATATTTAAACTTAAAATATGAATATACAGATATTAACACGAATATATGGATACAAATCGGCTTTGGTTTGGAGGTTATCCCAACTCCAAATTTTTGATTATATCCTTAATATATAACTGTTCTTGCGTCCAGTTTGGTTTTCTTTTAATGTTTGCATGTCTAACTATCAGCCATGATTATTTTACTTTTTAAAATATAAAATGTATGTTTATTTGCAACAGTTATGCTAATTACAATATAAAGACATTTATGACAGTAAAACAGCAACAGCAGTGTCTGCTGACGGACACCGTGCTGCATTGTCACGGGAACAGCTAAAGATAATGAGGAAATTAAGTCGCTCGCTTTGCCAAGTGCATTCCAAACGACTACATAATTGTACGCACGTGCCCTGCTCACTCCAAAGTCCCCACTCCAAGAGGATAGGAATGATCACTTCCATTTGGAATTTGCCTTGTGACCCGCTCGGTACCGATACTCGTATCGGCACATCCCTAATGTGACATCTGTTTTTATATTGTTTGTCAGCACACATAGCCTAAGTTACTATGTATCTGGATCAACTAGCCGAGTAGACAAATATAAATGTTTATTCATAACCATGCTGACAATAATCAATGTTAGCTGATGCTAACTGTCTAGCTAACGAGCTTGCTGGTGCTAAATTGAGGTAATTTTTAAAAAATGAAGTCCAAATATTTTTATTTTTATTCAACCACCTAGATAGATTACATATGAGGGGAAAAGAAAGGAAGTGATGTTCAGAACATGGTAACTACAGTAATTATAAAAGTGGGAAGTGATGTCCTTTTGGGGGCTTTTGGCCGGGGTTTTTTTTCACCCCAGACAAAGGCTTAGAAAAAAAAAAATCATTATGAAAATCTAATTATATTTTCCTTATTATATTAATTATTTCCTTATTGGTTATTTTGGGGAAATCCCAGGTATTTTAAGCAGTAGGATTATAAAAAAAATATAGGTCCCCCTTTATATTGTGTCCCTAATACCTGTGTACTTACATAGTAACTAAACGTGTACGTAGTATGTAACCACAGTGTAAGTACACATTGGTACATAGTATCTACAGCTGTAATATTTCTGTAACTACACACATGCAACAACCCTCAGGATGGTTTGTGTAAGTACAAATGTGTAACAGGACAT